ATGCATTTTATAATTCAATCAAGTGAACAATTCAGATTAACCATCACATTCTATAAATTCATGTAAGCATCACTATCCACTCAGAATCTGACCACGTCTTTTTTACTTCCTCCAAGACAATTAGATTATTTCAAATTTCCTCTTCTCTCACTTGGATCACCACAGAGATTCGAAATTTCCTGCTTCCATTCTTGCCCTTGTATATCCTTGCTTCAATACAGCAAATCTTAAATATGATTTAATTATCTGCCCCAATCCTTTCTATCACTCACTCTCATCTCACGATGAATTACATTTTAAAAGGGCATATATGATCAGCCTCCGAATCCTATGATTTTGCCTGCCCCTGCCCCATCTCCTACTATTCTTTCCTGTGCTCATTCTTCTTCAGCCACATTAGACTACTCCTTGCTGTTTCTTAATCCAGCCAGAAGCTTCCTGCCCAAGGCCTTTGTGTTCCCTCCTCCTACCCTCTGAACCATTAGCCCTTGAGATATTCTCATGGGTCTCTATACTGCTCCTTCATGTCCTGGATCAAATACAACATTCGTAGGGCATCTCTGACCATCTTAAATTGCAAACCACCTCCCCATCTTTGGGACTCCTTTGCCCACCTCTTGCATTTATTTTATTCTACAGTAGCTTTCACTTTTTAATGTGATAGGTCAAGTGCTCCTTAATGGTATTTATCATCTACCCCTCAGCACCACCCCATTAGTAAGTAAGCTCCGGGGCAGGGATTTTGTCTGTTTGGGTTACTGTTGTATTTCAGTCTTTGAACAGTGTATGGCAAATATTTGGCACTCAGTAAATATCTGTTGGATCAATAAACTAATCAATCAAGAAATACTATTAAAAGCCTATTACTTAAAGCTTGGAAGGTAATCTCTAGAAGAAGAATAAAAAAAAAAAATTTTTAAAAAAAAACCTAAAAGATGCTGCTCGGAATGGACCTGGGCATGGAGGAGTCCTTTGGGGAGGATTGCTTTTCTTTATAGACCCTCTTGTACTGTTTGATTGCTTTTACTGTGTGCATGTATTACTCTGATAAAAATTCAAAAACAAAACTTCTAAATAAGTCACAGTGGCTGGAAATCATAGGATGATAACAATGCAGAAAACCTAGCCAACAATAATTTGCTTTATAGTAAATTGCTCTAAATCTGTTTTGAGAACAAATTATTGAATCTGCTAATGGTACTTACAGATGGTACAAAACAATGAACTTCTTCTTGGAATTGGGTATAATTTCAAATAGAATATCTTCTATCATGCTGTAAAGTGACTTCAATCTATTTCTGTGATCAAGCATTATATTATTACATCAAGTTCCACATATTTCACAATGGGTATCAAATGTACAGGGATGTCATTATTCAAGACTGTACATAAAATGTGATTTATTGATTCTTTAAATGTGGGCGGAAAATAATGGAAATAATTTTTCATACACAGATAACTGGCATATGTGAATGCTTGCTAATTTGAGTAGGGAGATAGGAAGGAAAAGATGGAAGTAACAAAAAAAATAATTTTGTCTAAGGCTGCCAGTGACATAAATTCAAACAATTGCTTTTTCAGAGTCCTCAGGCTTGTTTCTATTCAATGTTTGCTGAGCTTTAGAGAAGGCTGAATCCCACCATGGCAAAGTGCCATCTTTGTCAGAAGCGAAGAGCTGTTTACATTCAAGGCACATAATAAGTGCAATGTGAAGTAAAAAACAGTGTGAGTTCTATTATGGCTGATTAGCCCATTGTACACTGTTACAACTAACATCTTCCTTGTGCTAAAAATAGTGTGAAGTCACGGGACCCCAAGCAGCATGATCCACCAGTACTGTACTCTTTCACAAGACTGCCAACAAAAGCTGCCTCTAACTCCCCAGAAAAATAAAAGGGCCACTCATTCACTTCAGTGCCCTCCAAAATATGTAGTTTATTTGAACTGTTAGGAAACCTTTCAGAAAAATGAGCAACAGAGAATGGAAGCTGATAAAATATAGATCTATCTTCTGGGTCACTTCCTATGAATGAACCACATCCTTAATAGGAACATCTTAAAAAGTCAGTTGGTTGCTACACAAAACGTGCATGGTTAGCTGTTTCTTAATCACAGGAGTGGAGAGATTAGTGCAATATTTTGATGCAGTGACTACTAGTAGCCCCAGTAAATAAAAAATAAATAAATAATCCATCCGTATTTGAAGTGACAGAGCAGGAGGGAGAAGTTCGAATAAACCCAGAGTCCTAGGTCCTTTCACCACCAAGTCAATAGCCCTTCTCCTTGGAGGGGGCAAAGCAAACTGCTTTCTATTCTATTGAAAACCTGGAAGAATTTGCACCACAGTAATCCTAAATCCAGAGGCAATCTATTAAGAACTCAGCATTACCAATCCTGAGACTCAACTGATAAGCACCTCCCCCCATTAATCCTCTTACAGGCCCTACTAAGTAATGAAAGGGGTGCGATGAAAAAGCCCCCCCCCTTTTTATTGCAACCATATAAACTGCTTGTGTAAATGTTTCATTAACAAACTGCTGGACCAGTATTTTAATATCCTCTGCCTCTCTCTCCCTGATCCTCTTGGTGTGCAGCATGACTAAATGTGTGATTTACACATGTTTAGGAGAAACATTCCCACACTTGAATGCTATACCATGACAAAGGGAGGGGAGGGGCCAAGAGAGAGGTGTTGAATCTATTGTAGACAATTTAATTTACAATACTCTCTTTTATGGGCTTTAAAAGATGAATGACTTCCACCCACTTATCAATTTAGGTTTCATTTCTCAGTGTTCTTTCTGGTAAGTACTGGTCTCTATGTATGTGCCCTTGGCCAGATCATTTGAGGTTAGTCCTTTTGAAGACATAGTTAAATGCTCTAATATTCTAAGAGGAAAAGGAAGATAAATTCCAATATGGATTCAAGGTACAAAGAACCCTTCTCTGAACATCAGAGGGGCCAATATAAATGGGTTGCCTTCTTTTTAAATGATGCCAATATTTTGTGGAAAGAATCACCCTGTGTTCATTTTTTCTCTGTAGTCATCCAATCACAATCTGATATTTCCTGCACTTTAGCTAATCTAGGAAATTCTAACATGAGGGCTGAATTTTCTAATTTTTTAAATATGCAAGTTATCCCTCAAGCACGAAGTAAATTAGTCCATATGCAGTAACAGGATGCAACTTGAAGATAACAGAATCAGTCACTGAGGAGTCCTTTAAATTATCATAGTATAGAAAGTCAGGTTAACACAGCCAGACAAGTTCTACTGGGTCAAATTCTGAGCGATTCCAAGCTTTAAAAAATTAATACATAAGAAAACCAAGTAAAAATGTAGCCTCTTTTAAACCAGTGGCCAACCCAAGTGTCATTTGTGTCATTTCAGTTCACTGTGAGCATGCTGGCCACAGCTGCCGTCACTGAGTTTGGGGAAGAACCCTGTTTAGGTCACTGCGTGTAGTTTTATCTCTAGCCACAACTATGGTCTAGTTTCAAAGTGAATAGATTCATTTGGATCAACAATGCCCTGGGGGATAAAAGCTTAAATGTATTCAACCTTAGGAAGAGCTGAAAACATCAATACCTTCATAAAGCCACTTTGATTTGTATCGACTACAGTTGTGCTGCTAATTCATATACATCATTGTTTACTTCACAGAGCTTTTAACATGACTTTTGATTTATAGAAATAGTGATTCAATTTCTACCAAGAAGTGGTAAGCCCAGACCTCCCCCAGATTCTTACTTTCTCTCTGATGTGACCAAATTGAAAGAGAAATTCTCATGTCACAGCTTAAATAAATTGCTTTATAACAGTTTGTGTGCACTTTTCCCCACCAAATTTTCATGGTAACAGATAATAACAAAATAGATCATCCAGTGAAGGATAATAATCAATTATCTAAGCATGTTGTTAATATGTTCACAGCAAAATCATTGATTTCTACTGAGGTAAGTTCTACAATCCAGGTGCATTTTCTTCTCAGAAGATATATGCTGGACAAAAGAGAGAATTCCCTGGACCTGGACACCTTGCTTAAGTGCAGAGGACTTTAAGGCTTTCATTTACAGGAAGCCCTTTGGGCACATTGCAAAGATTTTTTTTTTCCTTTTTTTTTTTAATTTTATTTTTGTATATGATATGAGGTATGTATCCAAATACTTTTTTTTTCTTGTGGATATCTAGTCATCCAAGGAACATTTTTTTTTTCTACGCAAAGATTTAAAATATACCTGTACCACACAAATAACAGAAGCTACATTTGGTAAGAGTTTCAGTTTTTGTTTCATGCTGTATCACATGGAGAACCTAAAAATTCTTTTCTAGCAGTTCATTTATGTCTAAGCCACTAAAATGAATGACTTTAAACCAAGCTAATAAGCTGACATGACAAAACTGGATTTTTTGCTAACTGATTAATTCCCAAACTTCAATTAGAATTGAAATATTTTGGATTTTCATGTGCTGAAATCTTATCCAGGGATGCCACAGAACACAGGTATTGATTTTATCAAGAAAAATGTTCATTGCTCAAGAAGTGCCATCAAAATAACATTGAAGCAGACAGCATTCAGCATGGAAGGGAACAAAATGTGAATGTGATAGCCAGCCTTTCTTTTTCTTGGATCACGGCAGGCCTGAACACAGCATATCCTTGGTCCAAGAAAAATTCACAGTTCTGATGGAGATAAACTTGGAAGGCTTGAGACAGCCCAGCATCTCACAGTTAATTAAAGAAGTGAGTGAAGGCATCAAAGCTCGCTCCCTTCTGCCTGAATAATTCACTGCCTTTATCCATTATTAAAACCCGTTACTTCACCACAATGATTCCCAGCTCGAGATGGATTGGTCTCAGAATCGAGAGATAAATTGTAACAAGGCCTACAGCTATATTAATAAATTGAAATGAACATTTATTTGCTCATCTAATTAGAACTGTAGTTTTTCCAAATAGTGTAGTAATGTATTACCTTGACAGGCAGCACTACCTACCTTCTATGAGATAAAATGAACAGGAGGTCTTTGCCCCAGATTTGGGGTGTCTTTGCATAAAAAGTTCTTTGGTCGCTGCTGTTCCTTTTAAACCATTCATTCAGCTACTATGCTCTGCCGATCCTATCTCTCCAGGATTGATGGGAGCTTAGCTTTTGAGGTACTTCGTCAGAGGGCTACAAAGAAATGTGCATATAGAACCGCATTCTTCTTTTGTCCTGTCTTTTTTTAAAGTGTTGTTGGGGGGAAGAATTTGAAGATTTCCCCACCCCCACCCCATCTCCATTTCCCTTCATTAGGATTGCAAAGCCTTACAGCTCAGTGGTTCAAAGGACTGGGTTCTGGCAGACACCAGCTTGATTTCTGGCTCAATCGCTAACTTTATGCAGCCTCCGTTTCTTCCTCTGCAAAATTAAAATAATAATATCCATTGGTGAAAGTCGACATGCAGTGCACAGAGAATGTCTGTAAAATGAGGAATTCATAGTGGGTTTTGGTTTTGTTTTGTTTTCCAATACTGCAGATCAAACCCAGGACCTTGCTTATGTTGGGCAAGGCTTTATAATCCAGCGACATCACCAGCACTTTATTTATTTATTTATTTTTATTTGGAGATAGGGTCTCCATAAATTGTCCAGGCTGCCCTTGAACTTTTGATCCTCTTACCTCAGTTTCCTGAGCTGCTGGAATTACAAACTTACAGACATAAGCCACCACGCCTGGCTCATAGTGGGTTCTTAATCAATAGTGAATACTATTACTACTCAGCAAATCTTGCTCTTCTCTGTTCACAAATTAGATTTAAAAATCATTTTATTACATTAGTATGGAAGGGTCTTTCTATAACAACAACGAATGCAGAATTTTTGAAGAACAAAAAATTAATAACGCGGTGTTACACCATCACAAAACTTTTTCCTTACGAATGAGTTTCATAGATAAAGACCTCTCTCCCCCAGCTGGATTATAAAATCTGAGGCAGCCTGGTTTGTGTCTTCTCTTTTATCTGCAGTAGCCCCAGGACACGGTGGGTGCTTGGTAGTTGATTTTGTTTACCATATTAAGCATGGTTATTACCTAACCTCTTGTGAAACATTTCTATTGTGCCCTGTTTTTTGCCCCTAGGATGAAGTACCTGAGGAAAAACAGTTTAGGAGGAAAAATTTATTTTGGCTTATGATTCAGAGATTGCAGTCGTGATCAGCTGGCTCCATTGCTTTAGGCTCATGACAGCCAGAAAGCAGAGAGAAAGAGAGGAAGGGACCATAGACAAAAATATAGTCGACAAGGGTATTCCTCTAGTGACCTAATTTCTCCAAGTTAAGTCCCACTGCCTACAGTTTCCATCACTACCCAATAATGCATCCATGATAAGGCCAAAGCACTCTTGATTAATATGTCTCCAAAGCCCCACCTCTGAATACTGCTGCATTGGGGACCAAACCTTCAACACAGGAGACTTTGGGGGACAGACATTCCATGTCCAAACCATAACATGCCCAATGACACTGAAACACACAGAGGTTACAGAAGTTGGGCCTTCTCTCTATACAGCATCTTCCAATTTCATGCTTCTTCACCTGATGGTCACATGATCTTATAAAAGTAATAAACTCTTTCTTTCTTAAAATTAGCAGAAATCTTATTTACCATATTCTTACCCCAAATTGAAAATTCCAGTCGGCTTAGAACTTTTCCTTTGATAAAATGGGGAAAATTAAAAGTAAATTTCTAGGTTGCCAAAATGAACATCTGGCCCCTTAATCTTCTCCTCACTTTGTAGAGGTAGGGAATTACCGATGAGTTCTTCTGTGGGAGGTTCTGGCTGAGGCTGCACCATTATAAGAAATAGAATTAGACTTGATTTGAGAGAAGAAACACTTGTCATTTTCTCCAGCAAGTTCCAAAACTGCTGAGTAGGACAGACTTCAATAAGTTTGAAACCTTTTTGCAGGTAAAATTTAGAAAAAAAAGAAACACAATTTGTGAAATAGTAAATGCATTACTAAGAGATTTTACAGTGTTCTTTTGTTGTGAGTTTGCTTCCAGGGCAAGAATATATATTTCATAAATCAGTATCAAGTTGTGTGTTGTTTAAGCAAATAAATTATATTTTTCTCCAGTTGGCTCTTAATCAGTAAAAAGCAAAAGGAAGCAGAATTCATTTTAATTCCTTATGCTATGTACTCCTTGTGTAATGACAATGTTTAAAGACAATATACATTGAAATTAAATTATTTTTGTAAACTTTAGTAACTCTTTTTATATTTAAAACTAAAATTTAAGAATTTTAAAGTACAGAGTTGGAAGTGTAGCACAGAGGTAGAGTGCACATAAGGTCCTATATACAATCACCAGCACCAAAAAAGAAAGAAATATAATAAAAAAAAAAAGATGAACAGTCCAATGAGTATGGAAGGCTATAAAATAAAAGTTAAGCATTTTTTGTTCCTCATACCAATACAATGAATCCCACTATCTAGTTGTAAATACTATTAATAGCTTCCAGAAGCTTCCATGTATTATATCCATATAATTTCATGCAATTATATGATATTGCTTCCTATTTTATTTTGTTTTACACATATAAAATTGTACCAAACTATTGTTTTATAATTTCAAAAATTTAACATTGTATCTTGGACACATAGATCTATCTCATTTTAAAGGTTACATAGTAGACAGAAATACAGATACACAAATACATACTCATATATATGTATGTGTGTACATATATCTATGTATGTACACACACACATACACACAGAGTACCATATTACATTTAACTATTCCCCTACTGATAGACATTCGAGTTGCTTGTAATTTTTTGAATTGTCAATAATGCCTTAATGAACATAGAGAATGTCCATGTTTGCTTGACTGATTTGTACAATGTGTTCTCTAAAAATGGACATTGTCTAATTTTTTTCTCAAACTGTAGATTTGAAAAAGGTCTATCCACTATTTAGTAGGGTGCTTCCATAATTCAAGAAATAACTGCTAGTCAAATCAGAGTGAATTATTCTTTTGTAATAATTAGTGATGAATTACAATCATTTAATGGCAGTTATGCCATTTTACCAATGCCGTATTCACTACTGATTAGAGAATTAGTAATGCAACTTTTTCAAGGCCGAATGAAATGTTGGAGAATGTTTGGTCTGAACTCAGTCAATGTAATAGAGTCCCCAGGAAGAGAATTGGGGGGCACTGTTTTTGTGTTTTTGAGCATTTTTGTTTGTTTGTTTTGTTTTTTTGTGCTGGGGATTAAATTCAGGGACACTTTACTACTGAGGTACATCCCCAGTCCTTTTAATTTTTTTTTTTTTTTTTTGAGATTAAATATAACTAAGTTGCTGAGATTGGCCTCTAACCTGTAATCCTCCTGCTTCAGACTCTGGAGTCACTGGGACTACAGGCATGTGCCGCCACACTCAGCTCAGGAAAATAGCTTTAAACACTAGTTAGGAACAATCATTGAGACATTTCCACTGTCTTAGTCCTTTTACTCTTGCCATAACAAAATACCTGAGACTGGGTACTTTATAAAGAGGTTTATTTAGCTCACAATTCTGAAGGTCCAAGAGCATGGTGCAGAATCTGCTTGGCTCGGGTGAAGGTCCCGTGGCAGATAGCCTCATGATGTAGAAGCTAGTGACCAGGACCTATTCTTTTCTAATAGCCCCCTCTCACAGGAACTAAATGGGGTCCCATAAAAGCTACAGTAATCCATTCTGAAGGCAGCACTCCCGATGATCTAATCACCTCCCACTACACCCCACCTCTTTAAGGGGCTACCACCTTCCAACACTGCCACACCAGAGTCCAAGCTTCTTATACATGAAGTGTTAGGGGGATGAACTCCAGCACATCCAAACCAGAGCATCTGCTATTCCAGATTTCCTCAAAAGAGTTTTAGGCTTTTGTTGTTGTTGTTATTTTTCTTGGTTGGTATTGCCAAGGAACACCCCAACACCAACACTCTTTTCCTTAACTGAAAAACAAAATATAAACAGTATTTTATCATCGGGTTCATGACAATATTTTTTACATGTGAAGTCAAAGGCAACTCAAGAATGATATGAAGAGCTTCTCAAGGAAGGATTTTTAGAAGAACAGAAAAGGTATGTATGGGGCAAAAGAAACTTCCCCTCCACCTTCTAAAGGTTTAATAATTGAGTCTTTTGGAATAAACTGGCAATGGACATTCTAACAGGAGAAAAGGCACGTGAGTTCATTGCACCGTAAGCATGGGAACATCACAAAAATGAAAGTGAGTTCCCTCAAACCCAAAGAGATTAGAAGCTTATATACCCTCTTAGTAGTGGAAATAGAGGAAGAGTAAATCTTTGTTATTGTTGTTGTTGATACCAGGGATTGAACTCAAGGGCTTTTAACCACTAAGCCACATCACTAGCCTGTTTTTATTTTTTATTTTGAGACAAGGTCTCCCTAAATTGCTCAGGACCTTGCTAAATTGCTGAGGCTGGCTTTGTGCTTGCAATCCTCCTGCCTCAGCCCCCCAAGCTGCTGAGATTACAGGTATGCACCACCTGCCCAGCAAGAGTGAATTACTTTTACAGAAGATGAATTTGCCTAAGAACAGACCTTAGACTGTGATAAAACCATCTGGGTTCTGGGTGTGGTGTCAGCTCTGGTCATCTTTCCTGTGAGATAATCTTCCCTGTTTGATGACTTTATAGGGAGTGTGCTCTTGACGATTGCATTACTTCTGCAAAAATTTCTCTGGATGAGATGAGGAATCTTCCTCAAAAGCCTTCTCTGGGTACTTTGGGAAAGACAGAGTGGCAAGGAGCAGAAGGGTGTAAGAAGGTCAGAGATATCTTGATTTTGTAACTGCTTCTTTAGTTTAAAGTACTCAATATGTCAAAGTGTCTTAACTTTGTGATATCGTAATCCTAACTGGTTTATATCTCAGGGGAGAACTTTACAACACAAGAGGCAATCTCAGTTTTGCCCCACTTTCCATCATACTAGAATCCATGACCTTTAGCCAAGAACATAGTGGCCCAAATGAAAGACTTTGTAGTTCACGACGGCCATAAAATGAAATTCTGTCTAATGAAATGTAGAAATAATGTGTGTGACTTCCAGAATATATCACATGTAAAGGGAAGAGCACGCTCTCCTTCCCTCTTTCTTATCCTGCCTGCCAAATGTCTAGGTGCCTGAAAGTCATCTGGGGTGACTTCCACAAGGAGTGAGACTGAGAAGCAGACAGACAAAAAGGCAACCTGGAGCCACATACTAGGCTCATCCATCTTATACCTGAACATTACTTAAGACAGAACACG